TTTCAAGATTCCTGCTAATAGAAGGCTTGATGCAGTCATCACCATTTGCTATGAAGCTCAATCAAGACTTAGAGATCCTATTTATGGTTGTGTTGCTCACATATTTGCCCTCCAACAACAGGTAATTAAGGATTCATTATTGATTTATGATTATAACTTTTGATAAATTCATGATTTAACATGTTTTATATAACATAAACGGAGATCTTGTTGCATATCTATTATATTTATGGTTTGATTGTTTGCTTTTAATTTGGCTATCTTGAATATTAATTTTAATTTCTTATCCCTACACTAACCGTTTGAATCATAGAAATGGTATGCTTTCAAGACTATTTTTTTCCTCGACTACATAATGAGTATCATAATTACAAATTTAGAAAGTGGTCAGATTATGGGTGTGAAGTTTATTTTCAGACTATTTAATTTATTAAAAGAATTGCGAGAAATCGTATATTAAACATTGTATACAACTCATGTAACGTCCCAATATTTTTTTGTTTGTTTGTTAGCCAGTTAAGTCAAAACTGAAATAAGTGTCATTTTACAATGTTCACACATGACTAGGATGTCTTTTTTATAACCACAAAACAAAGAAATAATTTATTATTATTGATGAAGTCGAGACATTTTATGTTTTTATTTTATTTTTTAAAAAAAACTTTAGAAGCAATTTTGTATCGATTATAGCAAGAGAAAAAATAATTATATTGTAATAGAAATGTAATTTATATATACAAATTTTAAAAGACTAAAATGTGAAAACAAAAAATTATACTTCTATTTATTTTTCATAAAACTTTAGAAACAATTTTGTGTCAATTATAGCAATAAATTAAAAGAAAAACAAAAAAGGTAATTGCATGAATAATAAAAAAAATTCATTTGTAATAGAAATGTAACTTTTAGGCACAAATGTTAAAAGACTAAAACATGAAAATAAAAAAACTTTATTGATTTATTTTTATGAAAGTTGTGAAAGATAAAATAATCTCATTAAAAATAAAGATCAAAAGCAGTTGAGGGAGAATATTTTCCTTTTCATATTTTGTTATAAATTATTATTATTATTATTAAAGTTGATTATGATTTTTTTATAATATTATCCACTAATTTAGTAATGACTGATTTCTGTTAAAAAATCTAATTGATCATCTTTAATAAGATCTTCTTTTATAACCAAAAAAAAAGAGTTATTATTATTATTATAATAATAAAATTGATTATAATTTTTTATAATTATATTATTGATATAAAATATTTTCCAATTTTATTGATGAATAATTTTTATTAGAAATATGATTAAATAACATTAGTAGAATATTTGTAACCACAAAACAAAGAAATAAGTTGATGTGATTGTTGTTATTAAAGTTGATTAATCTATAGACTTCAAATGAAACCGTAAGAAAATGAAACCTCTGGAACAGTGGACTTTAATAAAAGTAATACTATCAGTTTAGAAGTTTAAAGGTTGAGATAAACCTCGGGAACAGAACAATCGTTTCTTATTCTAAAAGGGGGTGTCCCTTCCATTAATTCATTACATTGTTCTAGCAATACTGGTTTGTGCCCTTCATATGAAAGATGAACCAAAGTGAGGAATGGGGTAAGAGGAAAATAAGGGTAGCTAGGGCTTGGGAAGCCATGGAACTAAGGACGATATATATATATAGTCTCTAAGTATTTCAATGAAATCAATAACTCATTTCATTTACAAATGATGAGGTATGCTAACTGTTACACAAATGATTAGTCTATGACTATGGTATGGCCATTACTTCCTTGGTTCTTGCAGGTTTTGGGGAGTTGGTCGGTTAGTCCAGGGTTCAGTTAATGAGCACTTTGATAAGGAAAACTAAAATAAATAAATACTTTTGTCCCTGTCTAATTAAAATGACTTTGACAATAAAAATTTGTAGTAACACTCATCCATTGTTCTCTTTAGTATCAAGGTACATAACGGTGTGATCTCTAAAACGTGTAGTGTCATTTGCATTGATTACATAGTTAGATGTATAATTTGGTAATATTTTTTTATATTTTCTTTTATTTTTTTTATTTATTTGTGAAATCACACGTTAATCCACTAACTAACTCTTAGTTTTTTTTTTTCTTTTAAGATCCTAGGGCCTTAAAATAAGGTGTGGTAGAAAAAAAGCTTCTTCCTTTTGCAGTAATCTATCTACCTCGGACTGTTTTTTCTTTTCCTTCTTTTTATCTCAATTTTGGCGTGACACAGTAGGGAAA